TTAAAAAATAGCCCATGGTTCATAACTAATAGTATCAACACAATTGCTATGCTAAAATGTATCTTGCTTGTGATTTCAAACTTCCTATAAAAACATTATACCAACTATCTACAACTATTTGATAAAATTTTGACTTCTAAGACAATCATGGTTGCTCTCACTTCAATACTGCTGCAACTGACTTCCTAGGTATTCAACAAAGGCTCTGAGACCAAAGCTAATTATGTAACTGCACTAAAAACAACCGTTTTGGTTCTGGTCTTACAAGGTCAGCAAGGATATGATACACGAGAGCCCTCTTTGTAAGCATTTGCCTGGCAAAAGCAAAGTGGTGAGTTCAATCCCCAGTACCAAAAAAAAAAAAAAAAAAAAAAAAAAAGACCTCATGCTAGAGGGAGGATCATAAAGAGAAACATGTTTCCATTCTTTCAAGGAAAGTCCTGTGGTCTAGCACAGGCCATAACTCATCCTGGCAGATGACACTGGCAGAGGGGCTAAGAGGCTCTGCATGTGATTCCAAAAGTAACTCCTGTCGTGTCTTAATTGACCTTTATATATGCCATAGGGTAATTCTAATTAATATGGGTATCACTTAAACGCGGTCTTAAATACACAGTCAGAAAATAGAACCAAATCATGTAAAAATATTAATAATAATTCAGGGTAAATATACAAGGGGTTCCAGGTCCTATATGCTGGCCCCTACTGACAGTGTCCAACTATACCTATATCTTGTCACTATTATGGTTCAATACGGCTAAGAATCCACAATAATAGTTCCACAAATTCAGGAAGAATCTTTTTTAACTACCTAGCTAAGCTAACACAGGGCCTTCTATAGCCTTGCATCTGAAAACTTACATGCTTATATAAAACTTACTATCTTTAAATGAGCCACACCAAATAAAGAAGAAATGTTGCTTTTATGCCAGTCAGTTTGACACAACAAGAGATATAACATAAAAACTAGCCAACTGTGCTTGCAAAGATCCACCAATATTGTCTAAGTCATAGAGATCATGGTCAGGGATCTAAAATTTGACATTCTGACTCCCCTAACAGGACCAACATTAATGCTCCTTGTAGCCTTGATATTTAGACCATCTTTTCTCAACTGCTTAATCAAATTTGTTTCTTCTCCCTCAACAGCTTTAAAGATGCAGTCTCTCCAACAAGCACTCTTCCTGGCTTGTATTCAGGACCTTTAGATAGGATTCATAGTAGTGGGCTCTTTGGCTCCCAGCCATAGCCCCTCTCAGCAGAAGTAGTTTGCAAGACCCTTCACTGGCCATTGTACCCTAACCACAGTCAGTGTCACTAATGTTGAGGGTGGAAGCAAGCCAGGAGGTAGAATTTAGAAAGAGAGGGCACTGGTCCTGAACAGTTAAAGAAAGGGAGGTGGGGCTGGCAACAAATAAATTAGCATAACAAAATAGACTACTGGGATCTAATGAAGTGGAAGAGACAAAGAATGGGTCTTTAACCAAATGAGCCAGACCTTGAAAGAAATAAAATGCAAATACAACAGCTTGCTTTTCAGACATGGAAGGTCTACCTACACCCAGTAACATCCTGCTTTCTGTCAGGTATACCAGTCCCCAAAACTGTATAAAAACCCAAAAGACCTAAATACCTATGATGTCCAACTTAAGGAACATCTTTCTCCAACTAACAGAGATTTTTTTCTTTTATTGTTTCTAATACACATACATTTGGTCATTCCATATCACTTGCTGTTTTGTCAACTTCAATCTTATTTGCTCCAAAACCAGGATTCAAGGGCTAAATTCAATTATAGTATCTTCATCTTACACTGTAAATATTGCTAGTATCACTTAACTAGCAGATTGTTAAAAAACAATGTGAGTTATACGCATCAAAATAGTTTGTCACAATTCATAACTGCTGAAAAAAATATGGTAACAGTGAAGTATTTGAATCTTACACAGAATTACAAAAGGAACACTTAAATTAAGGTCAAATATGTGTATCAGTTAGTAGCAATTTAAAAGTTAGTCTGTAATCTCAGGGCTTGGGAGGCTGAAGCAGAGGATCCTTGTGAGTTTGATGCCACCCTGGGCTACAAGGTGAGTTCAAAGCCAGCCTCAACTGTACAGTGAAACCCTGCTTCAAAAAGACCAAATAAATAAATAAAGTTAACGTGAAAAAAAAAAGAGTACTTGTAGTATTTTCTCTATTTAACCAAAGATAGATCATAATGTACATTATATATAAATAAACCACAAAATGCAGTAATATAAGGGGGGAAATTCTTTGAAGTAAGTTTCAATGTCCGTAAATATCTTACTTTAATCTTGTTGTGTGTAAAAATAAGTAACCGGGCAGTACATTGTCAAATGATGGGCTCAGATATATTGGTTCTGTCATTCTTATACCTATACCTCTGAAAAATAGGAAACCTAACATTAACCCGCATCAATTACACAGCATCATTTCTCAAACATGTCAAGTATAAAATGATTTGCCTTTTTATAACTTTTACCTAACATGTAAATAATTAGAACAGTGCTGTGAATCGGTTTTGAATGTTGACCTCAAGGAGAGGCCAGAATTAAAAAGGATAAAATGGCAAAACTTTGACTTGCACAAGAGTTTCTTTAGAATTCTGGATAAATTAAAAAGTAAAGAATATCTGATTGCAGAATTGTCCTAATCTTTCCAGTAACCAACATATAACCACTGTTAATAACTTTCCAGTCAACAAACATTTCTTGACTATTGAGTTTATGAGGTACTATTCTAGGTACTTGTATAAAAGCTGAAAAAATTCCTAGAGTCCTGCTGGTGCTAAGCAGTGACAAGCACAGTACTACTCTCATCTTTTTATAGAGTAACTGTCCAGGGCAGACTTAATTGGAAGATGATCTTTTCTACGTCTGTCCCACTTCATGAGTGGCAGTGTTGCTGATAAACAAGGGAAGGGCCAGGCCATGGGGAGGCAGTGACATGCACGGCAATCACAGAGGTGACCAGAGACCACTGAGGGCAGAGAGAGCATATACACATTGTTAGAGAAAGCCAACAACTTTATTTTTAAATGGCTGCTTTCTTCTCCCACCAACAAAGAAAACATTATTCACAGCCTGGCACCTCAGTGTAATTCCTATAAGCCCAGCGACTTGAGAAACTAATGCAGGAATGCAAGTTTGAGGTCAGCCTGGGAAACCAAAGAGAGATTTTGCTCATAGTAAAATGCAAAGTGGCTGGGGATACAGTTCCATGGTAAAGCTCCTGCCTACCAATATTTAGGCCCTGGTTATAATTCCCAGTACTGAGAAAGAGAAAGACGGGGAGGGAAGAGGAGGGCAATAGAAAGAAGGAAGGAAAGGGAAGGGAAGGGGAGGGAAGGGAAGGGGAGAAGACTACTCAGCAAAGTAACTGTAGCCAGGACATCAAGTAAGCAAATGAAAAGTATACCACTAATAATGACTAACAGACGCAATCAAAATACCAGTTCTTATTACAGATCCACACACAGCCAACAGCTACATAATCTTTATAGTCACAAAGCCTTCTAAGAACAAAATCAGTTCTTGGCTGTTTATAAAGTATTACTGTCACTGGGCTGGGTCTGAGGGTTCCTGAGGCTGAAAATAAGGAACTTAACTCATTTACTTTTTAAAAGTGATTCTGTAGATTTGTTGACTCCTGTCATAGAAAAAGAATTTTCAGGACTCATCAATAAAAGAGGCCAGAGAAGGTTTGATTAGAGCTAAGAGAATGCTTTCAAGAATGGAGTGTGGAAGGGGCTGGGGATTTAGCTCAGCGGCATAAGTGCCTGCCTTGCAAGCGTGTGGTCGTGAGTTTGATCCCTGGTACGGGTAAACATACAAGAGTGGAGTGCGGGTGCTCAGAAAAATGAGGCAGCTACCAGCTGGAGCAGGGCACATTTAAAGGCTGCCTTCAAGACGGTGATCCAGGGCATGTATTCCCAGTCTGCTGGGTTACACGGCCCGCCATCCTCTGTGGCACATGAACTGAAGTGGAGATTTGCTGTTTGGAGTTAGGACATACTGTCTCCAAAGCAGCTGCTTTTTGGGTTGGAGGACAGGGCGATTTGCAGAAGTACCTAGTGTCTGGGGACAGGTTATTATAAAGGGCCTTTAGAAATTTAACATTAAATTAGGATGGAAGAAGGGTGACATAAACTAGAGTGGCCACCAGAAGCAGGAAAACAGCTTGTCTGGAAGCCACAGTTTTCTTAAAAGTAGAATTTTAAAATCTCAACTTCTCAGTCTCCTTTCTACTTAGTTTTATTTCTTCTATCCTAATCTCATTGCTCTCCATTCAATGTTCTGTTTCTTTAGAAGAATTAATTTGAAACATACAGAAAAACCTCTGCAACATGGGAAAGTGACCAGGGTTCTAGTCCAGTTCTGGACAGACAAATTGACATGGTTTTGTAGGTTGTTAACCTTGGAGCACTGGTGCTGTCTACAGCATTCCTAACACAAGTAAAATATGAACCTAGTTTATCTATGAATTTATTCAGAGCCACAAGTGGCTAGAGGTAATTTAGAAGTAATTGTATCTTTATTTTGGATTGAATAAATCCAAACATTATGAGTGTTGGTTTTCTGGTACAAATATTTTTAATTTACATTAAAATTATAAATTTTTCTGACTAAAATGTTAAACAGATCTAGATGAGTCATCTAACTCACTTTCTATCAAGATAAGCTTCAATGTTCTTCAAAGACATAAAAATTTTCAAATCATTAAAATTCAAAAGGACAAGTAAAATCATTTAATAATTACATTATGACTAGTCTGAATTGGACTTTTAGTCTCATCTTTCACCCTTTTTAAAATAGTAAGATTTTTTCCAAAAATCATGGAACTATGGATAAAATATTTTCCTATTGAATTAACATTAAAGACGTATTCATACAATGCAACCAGATAATGTTTACATTATTTTTAATAATCTTGATACATAGAAAGCATGTTTGTTTCTCCCATAACACCCAGTGACATACTTCAGTTCGCATAGGCCACTGAAGATTTCTTTGCGGCTTCGTGCAGAAATTCCATTTCCAAGAAACACTTTTGTTCCATCAAACTCTCTGGCTCCTTTCTTACATTTCCCTTTAATATCGGAGTACACAGAAATAACATCTCCAGCTTTCATAACTAAGGAAAGGAGAAAATCATGTTACAGTGATCTGCTCTTTGGCAGGATAGTAGTCTCTAAGTAGAATGGGAATCTCTAAGAACATCAATAGTGGATGAGCAAGTCAGGCTTGCTCATTAGATATCTATGAGCAAAAACACATTACAGAAAACTTTACATGCATACCTAATTTGTTCATCCTTATCAGATAGTCCTTATTGGCGATATTAAATGCAAAGCTTGGAAAATACCTTTTCAAAAACTGAAAAGCATCTCAGTAAAATAAAATGAACTTCCCATTCAATAATACACGAGAATTTTAGAGAACCATTTACCTTACAGTACTTACAGCTCGAAGCTGACACAATTCCTGGAACATACACCTGGGCTCCTCGCAACACTGCATTGCCACACTGCGCCCCCACAACAGCTTCACACTGCTGCTTTTTTATGTTCTTTCTAGTTAAGAAAAGAGAAATTATTTAACAAAGTAAGAGTCTTCCTTTGGCTATAAACTTTTTCAAAGTTTCAAAATAAACTCTATAAAAATATTATTAGTCTGAATTGTCATGAATAAATGAGGAAAAGAAAGCTGAAAAAAAAAAGGGGGTGTAGAAGAATAGTCATAAAAGGGGAGGACATAAGGGAGAATGGTACAATAGGGGGAAGTCGCCCTGGGAGATCTGGGTTGTGTGCTGGGGTAGGACAGTCACAGGTCTAGCTCTGATGCCCAAAGGTTAGGGTGATTTGCGTGGCCCAGCTGTTTCCCTGTTTCTGTAGTTGGCCCACCCTGAGCAGCCACCTGGACTGGAATCTAGACACTGGGGCGCCCATGAGCGCCATGGGCGAGGTCGGGAGGTCGAGGGTTAACCTAGCCAGCCGGAGAAGCCGGGGACCGCGAGGTCCCGTAGGCACTTTCTTGGTCTTTCCGGAAGGCGGTCTGACACCCGAGGCCGCAGCGCGGGGGCGGGGCCTATCCGGAGGGCGGCTCCGTTTGGCGGAGCGCGGTGGGCGGGGCTGAGCGCGCGCGCGGCGGCTAGAAAGGAGGCGACGGCTGGCTGGCTGCAAAGCTGACTGACGGTGAGACGAGGCGCGGCGTCGAGCGTGGGACCGGGTTCCGCGAAGCGCGGGAAAGAGCCTTGGGCTGTAGGCCTTGGGGTCTTCGGTGTTCTCGGGAGTCGGCTTTTGCCGCGACCCCTCAAACCGAGTGGGGCCGGAAGTGGTGCGACAGACTCCTCGGACCGAGGCGCGGCCTCAGGTACCGCAAGGACCGAGTCCGTAGTTGGCCGGGGGACCCTGTTCTCCACCTTCGCACCCTGCGCGCCGTCAGGTTGGGGGCGAAGGCGGGAGCTCCGGGAAGTTTCCAAGGAACTGCGGAAGGGTTTCGGATCGGATCCCAGCGCGGGTGGCTGCTGGGTTAAGGGCACACACTTGTAATCCCAGCACTTGGGAGGTCGAGACGGGAGGATCACTGGGTGTTCGAGTTTAGCATAGTGAGTTTAAGGCCAGCCTGAACTGCATAGTGAAACTTTGTTTCAAAAGACAAGAAACAAAACAACCAAAAAACTTACGGGGACCTACAGTATCCAGCTACCAGCACAGGAAGCTGAGGCAGCAGGATCTCCGCCTGTCCAGGCCGACCTGGGTGCACAGCGGGACCCAGTGCAAAAACCACAAGATAAGGTCCTCACTTCGGAGGCCCGCGAGCGCGCTCTTCCCGGTGTTTGCTGATTGCAGGGCAAGCGCGACGACGATGTGCGGGCGGACATCCTGCCACCTGCCCAGGGAAGTGCTGGCCAGGGCCTGTGCCTACCGCGACCGCGGCGGCCTGCGGCGGCTCCCCGAATGGAGACAGCCTGAGAAGTACCACCCTTCCTACAACCAGAGCCCGCAGAGCTGCAACCCGGTGCTGCTGTCGCGCCTGCACCTGGAAAAGGTAACGTTCTCTAGGGCCTTCCTCGCCTGTGGATCGGGTGTGCCCAGCCTCCGGCTGGCCCGGGTCCCGCCCCACTTGAGAGCTACTAACCCTGAGCCCCGCAGAAAGAAGGTTTATTCTTGTTTTGTAAGTTGAGATGACTCCTTCCATGTTCTTTGGCCATTGTATTTTTTTATTTTAATTTTTAATTTTTAATTTTTTTTTTTTTTTGCCTTTTTGAAACAGGGACTCACTATGCAGTTCAGGATGATCTTGAGCTCACTTTGTAGCCCAGGCTGGTATCGAACTTGATTGAAACGATCCTCTGCTTCAGCCTCCAGAGTGCTTCGATTACAGGTGTGAGCCACCATGCCCGGCCAATTTTTATTTTATTTATATATATATATATATATATATATATATATATATATTTTTTTTTTTTTTTCTGTAGTTGCTGTACCAGCCTTAATTTGTGCCCAGTTTATGAGCCTTGAATTTGAATTGTTTTAAGGCAGCAGATTTCAGACCTCACTTATCAGGGTCATTTGAGTATCTTTTTAAAATTTCCCCCAGCACTTGGGATGCTGAGATAGAAGGATCACAATGAGTTCGAGACCAGACCTTTTCTCCAAAAAATATTTTTTCGGGGCTGGGGATTTAGCTCAGCGGCATAAGCACCTGCCTTGCAAGCAGGCATTTGTGAGTTTGATTCCCGGTACCAATAAAAAAGGAAAAGACCAAAAAAAAAAAAAACCACGAAAAATATTTTTTCTGTACCCCTTTAACCAAGCCAGCTGACTCACCCCTAGGGCAGACTTACAATGAACTAATTTAGCTGGAGTGGTGGCACACATTTGTCATTCCAGCTACTCTGGAGGCTGAGGCAGGAGGATTACTAGTTCCATGGCAGCCTGGACTACATTAGTAAATTTGAAGTCAGTTTGGATTACATAGCAAGACCAAGATGCTGCTTCAGAAAACCAAAATGGGGAAACAAATAAAAGAACAACTAATTTAAAGCACTTCTGATTTTTCTTAAGCCTTGAAAGTTTTCTGTTCTTTTTTTTTTGTGTGTTGTCAGTTGTTTTGTTTTTTACTAAAGCTAGAAACATATGTATTTGGTTTTGTTACTTGAAGAATTTTTTTCTTCTTAGATACTAGGGATTAACGCCCCCAGGCCCTCACATTAAGGTACATTCTCAGCCCTTTATTTTGAGAAAGGCTCTTGCTAAACTGACCAAGCTGGGCTCAAGCAGAGAATGTGGATAACCCAAATGTGGGTACTATAGGTGTGCAGCACACTTGACTTAGTTATTGGTAATTTATTGTGTTCATAGTGTTGCAGTGTCGATTAATTACTTTTTTTAAGGGGGAAAGGTTTATTTAGCTACAGTTTGTAGAGGTTTTAGACCATAAGCAGCTGGCTCCAAGGTAGGGTGGCAAGGGGGCAAAAGTTCCTGGTGATGCAAGACTGCAAAAGTGGAGTGGGGGGAGAGAGAGAGTCAATTTGTAATGAAGTTTTAAGTTCTTTTTCTTCTGTTCCAAAAAGCAAGTTTCTCTACATCATAAATATTTTAAATGCTTTTGATAACATCTTAAAATGTCATGATTAGGGTGCTTACAAGCAGGCAGTCGTGAGTTCGATCCCTGGTACCAATAAAAAAAAAATTATCTTTAACATTTGCTGTTGTTTCTCAATTTGATAAATATTTGATACCTCATTTTTCTCAAATGTGTAAATTTTAAGGCAAAATTAGAAGTGTTACAACTCATCCAAATTATTAACGCCCACTCAGGTTGTAGTATTTGCATTTGAAACCACTAATTTGCAGTTGGTTACTTTTTTCTTTATCTACCCCAGTGCTCCCAACTGTTGCCCTCCCTGTCCAAAAAGGGGAGACAAGATGACTGATACCGAGAAGTATTTTTAGTATTTTGGTTTTTCACTCACTGAATTCATTGCCCTCATGATTGAGTTTGGTTTGCAGTTGCCCAGTGAACACATTCAAGTCAGAGGTGACAGCAGAATTTGTGAGGACCAGGTTTCTCAGCTTAGGTAGGCACTGTCAAAATATGAGTGCAGGATAATTCTTTGATATGGGGAGCTGTGCTGTACTGTTGTAGGATATTTAGCAGCACCCCTCACCTCTACCCCCCGGGTACTAGTAGCACCACAAGTCACTACTAGAAGTGTCCCTTGGCATTGGCATAAGTCTCCGTGGTGGAATGGAATTGTCCTATTGATATAGAGGAAAAAAACTCCCAACCTGCTAAATGTCCAGTATAAGTTTGTATTCTCTAAAATTGAGGAATAAATTTTAGGAACAACAGAGGTTAAGAACAGAATATTTTTATTGAGAGACAGAAGGGATCCTGAGTGGGTTCCTGAAGACCCTGCCTTTTGTAGGGATTTTTACAGAGCAAAACCACAAGGTGAGGTGGGTCCAACGTGGGAAAAATGGGAACTGCCACGGTGGGCATGAGGTGGGACCGAACTGTGGTCAACCAATAAGATTATGAGTATAATCACTCAGGTAAAATTGATTAAATTGGAGTCATGTGGGAAACGGGTCACTAGAAGTAAGCATGAATACAGAACAAGGTCTTTCCTGTGGGGGTTCTGTTGGTAACTCCTTTTGGCTTTATCAAGGTGATGGATACCAATTCCTGATGTTTATCCTTAGGGTGTGGTTGCATTTGTTTTATCTCTTGTCTTAAGGTCTGGCGGACAATGGGAGGTGTCTGTCTCCTCACAGTGTAAGGTGTCTGGTCTTTTGCACTGGCTCCTTCAAAGGCCTATCCCTATTAGACTGTTGCTCATTTAGCTGCCTATAAAAGCTATTACTGGATGGGGTTGGAAGAGGGCCTCCCAAAATGGAGATGGAGACCTCAACTTGTCCCACTAAGTTCTTAGGGTTTTGTTTTGTTGTTTTTTGAGGCAAGGTCCTACTATGTAGTTCTGGCTGGGTTTTCTTTTTCTTTTTTTTTTTTTCCCACAGCCATATGAAAGTCTTTATTTCTTAGTTTGTAACAAGAACATCTGTTATGAAAAAACTTTATTGTACTACTTCTGGAAAACTTAACCTTTTGATGATTACCAATGTAAACTTAACACAGTAACTGTATTTTTTTTTTTTTTTTGTCTTTTTGAGATAGGGTCTCGCCGTGCAGTTCAGGATGGCCTTGAGCTCACTTTGTAGCCTAGGTTGGTCTCGAACTCGCAACGATCCTCCTGCCTCAGCCTCCCGAGTGCTGGGATTATGGCATGAGCCACCACGCCTGACTTCATAGTAACATTTTTAACAACATTTATTAAGGTGTCTCCCATAAGGCTATTGAGATTATCGGGACCTCCCATTAATGAACAAAGATGATAATGATTTTTCCCAGGCAACTACTTCTTTATTCACCAAAAGGTAGTCCTATCCAATAGTATCTCCGTACCCCAAAGGATTTTTAATTATCTTTTTTATGTCCAAATTCAAATTACCTTTATTCAGATAGTTATATAGCTTCAAGAACATCATCTTATCTCTCCAAATTGTTTAATTATCTTAATAAATTTTTTGATGATTTATGGGAAACCCAATCACAACACTTAACACACTTTTTCTTTTTCTAATCGGTACTAGCGATCAAACTCACTACTGCCTGCTTGCAAGGCAGGTGCTTATGCCACTGAGCTAAATCCCCAGCCCCAAACACACCAAACACACTATTTTTGAACAAAGAGTTCTCCAGTGATGGTACATAAACAACAGTATATATTAACTTTACACAACCAATTATAGCATCATTTGACCAGCTGGCAACTCAGGTAGAAGCATGCTTTTGGCTCTATAACCCATATTAAGTTCTGAACAAATCCAAAAATGCAAAAGAAAAAAATATTTGAGCTCAAAAATCAGCTGATTATGGATATGACAAATCAAGAAACATACTTAGATGATCTGTACAGATTGGACAGACAGAGAAACAGTTTAACAGACAAAACAAAATCAGAGTGCACTCAAATATATTTGGCTAATTTGAATTATGATGACTTTTATAGTTTTTATATTTGAAAGTATAAGTAGACTAATCAGAACCTTTTTGTAGGTCAGTTAACAGATTGAGAATCAACTCCGTGTGTGTGTGTGTGTGTGTGTGTGTGTGTGTGTGTGTTGTGTGTGTGTGTGAAGAGAATTATACATGCAAAACTACAGAGCCAGGTATGGTGGCACATTATAGGCTGAGGCAGGAGGATTACTTTGAATTCAAGGCCAGCCTGGAGTACATAATAAGACACACAGAGTAAGTAAATGAATGAATGAATAAACAGAAGCCCAACGTTTAGCATTAACCTTATTGTTGGTTTGGCTTGGTTGTTTTTGGTGGTGTTGGTTTTTTGTTTTATTTATTTATTTTTTGAGACAAGGCCTCAGTCTTCCAGACTGGCCTGGAATTTAGCCTCTTCTTCCCTCAGCCTCCTGATTCAGATTAGAAGTATGTATCACCATCTCCGCTTATCTTTTCCTTCAGGGAGACTAGGCAGAGTAAACCACTTTGTCCAATAGGAAAAAGTGTGAACCTTCTCAAAACTCGAGTTCCAAAATGCTAATGGAAGGTTAGCTTGTAAGTAGACCCTTCTAAAAGTGGCATCTTCTGGTCCACAGTATTAACTCTTCTACACAAAACTACTTCTCAGTGCTTACTTTTTTCAGTTCTGGGGCTGGAACCCAGGGCTGTACATATCCAAGTAAGTGCTCTACCACTGAGCTGTCTCCCTAGATCCCTTTTTTAAAATTTTGAGTCATGGGTAACTTGTTAAGTTACCCATGATGGCCTCAAATTTGCCATTTTCTTGCCTGAACCTCCCACTAGTCAGGATTACAGGTCTGTCACCTAATTGCTTTTTTTTTTTTTTGGTACTGGGGATCAAACTCGGACCTCATGCTTCCAGGCAGGAGTTTACCACCGGGCTAAATCCCTGGCCTGTTTTTTTGGTTCTGTTTTGGTCTTTGGGACAGGGTCTCACTATGCAGTTCAGGCTGGCCTTGAGCTTACTTTATAGCTCAGGCTGATCTCGAATTTGCAATGATCTTCCTGCATTAGCTTCCCAAGTGCCAGGATTACAGGTGTACGCCATCATGCCTAGTTTTTTTTTTTTTTTTTTTGGTACTAGAAATCAGACTCACAACCTCGTGTTTGCCAGGCAGGCACTTATACCACTGAGCTACTACAGGTGTTTTATTTATTTATTGTCTTTTTGAGACACAGTCTTGCTGTGTTGTTCAGGCTGGCATTGAGTTCACTTTGTAGCCCAGGCTGGACTCATTCACAGTGATCCCCTACCCTGGCCTCCCAAATGCTAGGATTACAGGTGTGAGCCACTACATCCGTTTTTAACATGTGTTTTAAAAATGTTGGGACCAAGGTTGAAGATTTAGCTCAGCGGCATAAGCTCATGCCTGGCAAGTCTGAGGTTGTTAGTTCAATCCCCTGAACCCCCCCCCCCAAATGGGGCCACATGAAATCTGTCTATCCCAAAGGTACAGATTAAAAAAAATATGGTAAGTAATGATTCAAATATATAAAAGTATGTGGTAATCATGATTCCCCATTATGTGGCCTTGAAGCCTTATAAAGTTTTTATTTACTAATTGGAAAGGCTTTATTCTGGGCTTCTTGATATGGAAATATTTGAAGCTATAGTATATGAAGTTATATTCAAATATTTTAAGGAAAAAGACAGACACTATGATAACTACTATTAAGTCAGATTATTTGGTGGTGAAGCACTAGGTTGCTGAAACAATTTTGCTTTGACCTGTATTGTTGTTATGTCCTCTTTTATCTCAATCTCTCCCTTATTCATTAAAAAATTATTTAGTTATTTTTTATGGTTTTTTTAATTAAGGGGAAAAATTTTAAAAATTAGCAGGATATACTATAGTAACTTTTTTTGATTTCCTATTAACTTGTTTTGAAGTCCTGCAATACTCCCACTATGTTGTTTTGACTGATTAGACTCTGTTCCGTTCTGTATGATAGTATCAAGTTTGAGGGTATAGGCAACTACTTTGAAGGCAGTAAGACTCACTAAGATGCCCATTCTGGTTTGACTGTTATCTCCTTTGGAAGTCCTGTAATGTTTACAATGTTTAAGTTTTATTGGTCTTGTTCTCTACTGTTTTGTTCAACTTTGTAATACCTGATGAGATAGACAATTCTTTTTAAGGAAGCAAGAGGCATTATGGTAACCATTGTTGATAACCTTGTACTCTGTTTTTACATCATGTAGTATGTCTATCCTTGGTTTTGACTGATAGCTTTGTTTTGCCATATTTGACTTTATTCTCTTCCAAAAAAAAGTAATAAGAACTAAGGAGTAATAAAACCCAAAATGTGTAAATTTTGTTGTAAAAAAGAGAGGGAAAAAAAGTGCTCTAAAGGATACAACTGCAAGTGTGTTTAGGGGTGTTAAATAGCTGACCATATTAATGTTTTTGGTTGGATCATTGAACACAACCGTTTGCAGTCTCTCTGTTTGAATGTCCACTTTGTATGCTTTGATACTATGACTTGAACAACTATCTCTATGATGATAATGTGTGATCTATTAACTGGTGATTTCTTACTGTTTTTTTTTTTTTTTTTTTGTAGTTCTGTATTACTTGTACCCTTACACCACTTTGTTTTGTTTTGTGTTTTTCTCTTTTTCCTTTTAAATAAAATTTTTAAAAAAATATGGTAAATTCAAAACTCTTTGTGTCCCCTCCCTAACGCAACTCAAATCGTCTGTGTCATGTGAGCCATTTCAGTGTTTTAAAGTAGACTTTTTTTTGCAAAATTGTGTGCTGTTTGTCTTTTCATGCTAATGTTAATATAACATACATGTCTGTTTGGTATTTCAGATTTTATTGTATCTCACTGCTCTTAACCTTTTTCTATGGCAGGATGCAGACTCATCAGAACAGATCATTGCTCCCATGAGATGGGGCCTGGTCCCCTCTTGGTTCAAAGAAAGTGACCCTTCCAAGCTGCAATTCAACACCATCAACTGTCACAGTGATACCATCCTGGAGAAATGGTCATTCAAGGTAAGTCACTGGTCTAGAGAAAAGGCACATGCTCTGTTTTCTGACAGCTGTTTAGTGCCTTGTATAACTGAGAAATAAAATAAGGTTCCAAACTGTTAATGTTGACTGAATGTGGTAATTCATGTCTATAATCCAGCACTTGGTAGGCTGAGGCAGGCGGGTTGCCCTGAGTTTGAAGTCAGCCTGGGCTACATAGTGAGACCCTGTCTCCAAAAAGAAAAAGAAAAGAAAAAGAAAAAAAGCCAAATTGTTTATGTTGAGTGCTGTAAAATAGTGGGTTTTTTGTTTCATCTTGTTTTGGTGTTTTTGTAGTACTGGGAACTGAATCTAAGGCCTTCAGTGAACTACATCTTTTACATTTTTTTAGTTTAAGACAGGGCCTTGTTAAGTTGCCCCGGCTAAGATTCAAACTCTCAGTCCTCCTGCTTCACAGAGTGCTGGAATTACAGGGATTATGGCATGCACCACCACCTGTGCTAATGTAGTCACTTAACATAAGTGTTTCTTTTGTATTGTGTGGACTTACTTATAATCAGGGGATAGCTGGGAATGGATGTCCACCTGCCATCTCAGCTGGGAAGGTATATTAGTTACTTTCTTGTTGCTGAGACAAAATACCCAACACCTAAAGTTAAAGTGGGGGAGGGTTTTTTAACTCACAGTTTGTAGAGATTTCAGCCCATAATCTACTGGCTCCAAGGCAGGGGTGGTTTGGCAGAAGGACATCACAGAGGAGAACCAGTTCATGGCAGACAGAAAGGAGCAAAACAAGCAAGAGGCCTCGACAGTGTCTTTTGGCCCCTTTTATCTTATCCAGTCTACTTAAAGTAGGTAGCACTCATACCCTTAACCTTAGTACCCTTGAGCTTTGTACTATGAATCAATTTCAAGATCACACACTCTATATCCAACCACCTCTGAAAAATCTGCCTGTATGACCCCATGAGGCTTTAGGGAGACATCTAGACACAAGCCATAACAGGGTTAGAGCTAAAATATCTGGAAGCCTTCCCCATTCCTAGCTTGAGGGTATGGAGTACTCAGGCACTGACACAGCAGCTCCTTGAGCACAGAGCTCACGACTCAAGGCAGGATAAATGCTGTTGTCCTCCCTGCGTAGTATACCAGGGGACTGTGTGGCTGTGGGTACCAGGAAGCATATGTGGTTAACTGGGGGCCAACATTAGAGACCAGCTACTATGTGTACCTACTTACTAAAAAAAAGCTACTTGCTTTTATGTACTTTTCAGCATCAGTGTATTGGAATGGTGACTTTATGCATAAGTAAGGCAGACTCGGTGGCTTAGACCTATAATACCAGCTACTTGGGAGGCTGAGGCAAGAGGATTACTATGTTTTTTTTTTTTTTGTCTTTTTCCCTTTTTATCGGTACCAGGGATCGAACTCATGACTGCCTGCTTGCAAGGCAGGCGCTTATGCCGCTGAGCTAAATCCCCAGCCCCTGAGGATTACTATGTTGTAGCCCAGCCTGGGCAACTTTGTAAGAGTGTTTCAGAATGAAAAGGACTAGGGTAGCTTGGTGATAGAGTGCCTGCCTAGCACGTGTAAAGCCTGGTCTCCATCCTCATGACTACAAAGAAAACAAAAAAGTGAGATACAGAGAACTCTGTAAATATCTTCTCCTGGTTCATACGGTGACTGAAATTTTAACTTGGTGCTATCTCTGAAACATGACTGTGTCATGCTCACTTTTCTCTAAGGTGCCGCTGGGAAAGGGAAGACGCTGTGTTGTCTTAGCAGATGGATTCTTTGAGTGGCAACAATGTCATGGAACAAGCCAGCCGCAACCATACTTCATCTATTTTCCTTAGACTGAGACAAAGCAGGTATCTGCAGCTGTCTGCAGTATACTGTAGGAAGGACAGGGACAAGTCAAGATCCTGTACCACATGATGATACTTCCTTCAGTGATGGCCATATGCGATAGTGCTGTACCATGTAGCCTGGTGCAGAGCAGGCTCTGCTGTTTACACTGTGGTGCTCAACGCTGTGCTGAAATTGCCTGGGATGCATTTCCTAAAAGGGTCCAGCAGTGATACTTGACAGTGACCCAAAGGACATTTTTTCCTTCCCTCATGGAGGTTGGTTTGTATTGTTTTGTTTTAAGCAACAGCTTTATTGAGATTTTTAAAAAAGGGGGCTGTGTTGAAGTGTTTAAATCATTTATTACAGTGAAAGACACATTGCCATCAGTCTCCCTCAGAATACTACTTTCTCTCTCTCTTTTTTTTTTTTTTCTTTGTCTTTTTCCTTTTTATCGGTACCGGGGATCGAACTCACGACTGCCTGCTTGCAGGGCAGGCGCTTATGCCGCTGAGCTAAATCTCCAGCCCCCGAATACTACTTTCTCAATTCTAACACTTTATGAAGCAGTTTCCAAGTCCTTTTTCATGTCTTTAATTACATTGTCGTGGTGCCTTGATGACCTCAATTGACTCAAACTATTTACCTTTCGTGGTGATTTTGGCTTTGGAGAAGAGCCAGAAATGTCATAGTGCCAGATCCAGTGAATAAGGTAGAGAAAGACACACTGTCATGTTTTTGCAAATAAACCTTTTCATTGAACGGCACTTGGCAGCAGAATTCACTATGCTTTTGATCATGCCAAAAGCTGACCTTGATCTTACTATGTAGCCCACGATAGCCTCAAACTTGTGATTCTCCTGCTTTAGCCTCCTCAGGTCTGGTGTTACAGGTACGTGCCACTATGCTCAATTTATTTCAATCTGTCATTCTTTCTTTCTGTCCTTTTTCTGTCTATCTTTTTTTCTCCTTTCTGTGCTAGAAATTGAACTGTCAGGGCATTTGTACATGTAACATCCCACCTTTTTTTGGAGATAGGCTCTTGCTAAGTTCCCCATGCTAAGCTCAAACTTGGATCCTCCTGCCTCAGCCTCCTAGAGTTCTGGTATTACAGGCATGTGCCAGCACACCTGTTGTTGTTTTGATGCTGTGCTTTTTTGTTTGTTTGTTTGTTTGTTTTTAGTAAAAGCCGAGGACCAAACTCACAACCTGATATTTGGTACACCACTCAGCTATACCCTCATCCCTGGAATTCTAATTCTACAAGGGTTGGGTGGTTTGATATTGTCCCATAGTTCTTAGATGTTCTCTTCTGTGTTTTTTTTCCAGTGATTCAGTTTGGACAATTTTCATTGACTTGTGTTCAGTTTATTGTTTTGTTCTTTTTCAGTAGTAGGGATTGAATCTATGCAATGAGGCACGTCCCTTTTATTATTTGAGGCAGGATCTTGTTAAGTTACTAATTTGCGCAGAATGGTCTCAAACTTTGGATTGTTCTGCCTCAGCCTCCCAGGGTACTGGTATTAAAGGTGTGCCTTACTGTGTCCAGCCTTGATAGTTTTTGGTTATTGTCAGGCATAACATGTAAAACAGAAACTGAAGTAAATAATACTTCTGGCAATTCTTCCATTAAGCTTTTACTATGCCAGTCCAGTCGGGGGACTGTCGTGGCCTTTGACTGAAATCATGCTTCCCTTGTCACCCTTCTTCTGGTTCTCCAGTGGTATGTAGTGCTTTGGCAAGAGTGAGTGCAGAAGGTTGTTGCCGTGGTACTGCTGTGGCTGTGGACTCCCTGGAAGCCTGGCCCTTGGCGAGGTCTCTGCTCTTACTCTGCCTGTGTGTCACTTGTGCTTGCCGAGCTGCAGGGTGGCAGTGGTTCTTTGTCACAGTTTGGCCCACAGGCCGTCAGTCTCTGGCTTTCCCAGTCTGCCTCACCCTTTTCCTGAGGTTGCTCATTGCCTCACAGGCCCTCCTGCTCCCAGGGCCCTGCAGCGTGTTCCTTTTGTATGTCCTTCTGCAGAGGAGCACCTCCCATGCCCGCCCATGCCTCCTGCCTCCCCTGCCTTCCTCGGGTGCATGGGGAGCTCATGGCAGCAGCCTGTGGGTTGCCTGCTCTGCTGTCACATGTGGTTGTAATTACATCTGAATCTTTGCTGCTACCCAAAGTTGCTGCGTCCCACTTTTCACCACCGTCAGCTAATGTCTGTTCCTGCTCCCATCCAGCTCCCGCCTTTGCTTACATTTAGCCTTCCTGGTTGCCTGGCAACCTCGGCTCTCTGTTAAGGTTGAGAGAAAGCATAGGTATGTAAATTCTGTAGCTTTTTTCCTTACTGTTAAGGTGAAAAGAGGTGCTTTTTGTTGCTTTCTGTATTGCAGATCTTAAACAGAATCCTGTACCTTAAGTAGAAGCAGTGTGATGAGAAGGAAAGTCAGGATGGCTGAGGAGGTTACCCCAGCAAGTGGGCAACCAGATTGCATGGGTCATTAGGTTAGGACAGCCAGCTGGTGCAGGTAAACAGTGTGAAGCTTGATGGCACACACTCACCGGTATGCCTATGCCACCATGAAAACAAACACCCAACCAAATGGTGTACATGGCAGCCACAGCAGCCTACATGTCAAGCAGAAGGAGTTTTATGCCACCAAGCCTCCTTCTCTTGCAGGCAGTGGGTCAAGGGATTAATGGTGATGGCAGAGTCGCCCCTGTGATGATCCCCATGCTGTCCAGTATGAGGCATGCCCAGCCTTTGCAAAAAGCTCATTTGCCTCTTTTGCTTGCAGCTAGGCAACAGTGGGACTGTGGACAATACAGAGGACTGGGAAAAAGTCTGGGACCACTGGAGGCCACTGACAATGGCGGGGATCTTTGACTGCTGGGAGCCCCCCGAGGGAGGAGACCTGCTGTATTCCTACACCATCATTACCGTGGATTCCTGCAAAAGCTTGCATGATATCCACCACAGGCAAGCTTTTCTGTGTCTAGTTCTGGGCATCAATCCCAGCCAGTTTTTCCTTGTTGTATTTTGAGACAAGTTCTCACTAAGTTGCCCATGCTAACCTTGAATTCATGATCTTCCTGCCTCAGCCTCCTGGGCAGCTCACATTATAGGTGTGCATCACCATGCTTGGCTAAAGTCACACTTACTATCCCTGGATCCAAAAGAATGCAGATAAAAGTCTGTCCTTTGTGCTTTTGGGTAGGTAGTTTTAAAAACTAGCTAGGGGCAGTGATGCACACCTATAATCAATCCCAGCATTTAGGAGACTGAGGCAGGAGGATTATTGCGAGCTCAAGGCAAGCTTAAGCTGCATAGTGAGCCACATCTCCAAAAAGAAAAAGAAAAAGCTGTCTTTCAAATACTTATATTCAATTTAGATATAACATGACATGCATTCTTAAAAATCATCACACTGCAAAACTAGAGTCAAAATCACATGAAATCCATTGAGATTTCAGACATTTTAAAATAATTTTAGGCCCACGGCTGGGCGTGATGGCACGTGCCTGTAATCCCAGCACTTGGGAGGCTGCAGCAGAAAGATTGTCAAAAATTCAAGACCAGCCTGGGTTACCAAGTGAGCTTAAGGCCAGCCTGAATTGCATAGTGACACCCTGTTTCAAAAAGAAAAGAAAAAAAAGTTTAGGCCTTGGAGTTTTAATTCAGTTGTAGGGCATATGTTTAGTATTCATTAGGCCTTGAGTTTAAAAAATAAATAGTCAAGTGTGGTGGCTCATGCCTATCACCCTAATATTTGGAAGGTTGAGGCAGGAGAATTGCTTGCAAGTTCAAGGCCAGCTGGGGCTACCCCATGAGACCCTCTTCCAAAAACCTGAATATTTGATCCAATGTATAGCCTCATCCATTTAATTTCTAGATGACTAGAAATTTTTTATATATTTTTTGTGTGTGATGCTGGGATGAAACCACTTACGTGCTTTTTCCTGTGCCCCGGTGGTACCAAGGCCTGGCTCAATGGCCCAATAATGCTAGACAGGGGCTTTGCCACTGCACTGCATCCCAGCCCCCAACCCTGGAAATTCCTGAGGGTAGTTTCCATCCGTGCTGCAGCTTCTGATAGCAGAAGGCACCAAGCCACAACACTTGCATTCAAAGAAGCCAGTTCAGAGTGTTTAAGGTCTTCATGTATAAATAGTGCTCTTTCCTTGTAAGAAAAGCTTTTTTCTTTGTTAAAGAATGTTTCCTTGGCTTCTGCTCCTTAGGCCTTGTCAGCACTTCACACTACTTCTTGGAATTGCTCCAGCCATAGATATTTCTTCTATTTTTGCAGTGTTGTGGCTGCTGTGGATTCCTTTTATCTGTTGCTCTGGAGATAATTACATGTTCTTGTTTTTTCTTTGAAGATGCTTTGTTATTTCAAGTTCCTCAGTATTTAAAATGTTTCTGTTTGCTCTCCATGCACTGCCCACCCGTGTTCTGAGCCAGGCAGCTGAGCTGCTTTGGAGAAGTGAAATGGGTGCTTGAAATATACACACAGGAAGTTCCCAGGCACTGAAGAATAGAGCTCAGCCTGGAGACCTTCCTTGCAAGCGCAGGTAGCTTGTATGCATGCATTTCGTGCCCTTCTCAGGCTCTCCACAGAAACAGTTTCCTGTGTTCAACTCCGTTTGCACACATGAAATGCAGCGGAAGCAAATGCAGAATTTGCATTTTGCTCCATTTGCTTCTTGACACATCAGTCACACTGAAACAGGTTTGTAGTTTAAAAACAAGCACTGGCAGAACAGACTGTACTTGTATAACACCTTTATAGTTACTGCCAGATCTGAGTACACACTTATATACAGTTTTGCTGTTCTGTTGCAAAGATTGTTAATACTGTACCTACTAGGATTACCTGCCTTGTCCTGAGCTCTATGAAAATATGCTTTTGTGTGATATAGTTGTTTTAGTTTTTGTGTATTAAATTCAGGGCCTTCACGTCGAGCTATCTGTACATATATACACACACACACACACACACACATACACAGCCATTTTTGTTTTTAATTTTCAGACAGCGCCATTAAGTTTCTCAGGCTGGGCTTAAATTTGTGATCCTCCTGCCTCAGCCATGCAGAATGCTATAACATCGTTTTGTATGTTAAGTAAAACAGGCTGGGCATGGTAGCCTATATTTGGGAGGCTGAGGCTGGAAGGTTGCTGTGAGATCAAGGCCACCCTTGAACAGGATCATAGCAAGACCTTGTCATGTTCCCTCCCCCCCCCCCCCAAAAAAAAGAAAGGTAAAGCACTGTTGGTTGGGTTTGACGGCACATACCTGTAATCCCAGCACTCAGGAGGCCAGCCTGGGTTAGTGAGTTCAAGGCAAGTGCCTATCTCAAAAATACACTGCTAATTACTGTTAAGTAATCTATACAAGCAGAGATGCCATTTATCATAAAATACACTCAGGTTAAAAAGATTTTAAGGATTTCTTTTGAGCCAGGCTCTTACCCTGTACCGAGGCTGGCCTTAAACTCCGGAGCTCAAGCATTCTTCTGTCTCAGCCTTCCAAGTAGTTGGAACTACAGGCGAGTGCTGCTGTGTCCAGCTAGCCCTTTCTTACTATAGGCTTTCATGGGTCATGAGACCAGAGGTGATTGTTCATAGATAGTTTTCAAGGATCCCTTGTTCCTTGTTCTAGGCTGGGGACTGTAGGAAGCCCACCAGTTTATTAGCCTGAGCGCTAATGCACCAGTCCCAAGCATGGCCCTGTTCGCTTTTTCTGTGCAGCACAGAGAAGGGAGACACAGAGCATGGGTGTGGCCTCTGGGTAGCTGCTGTCAGCTGACTCAAGTCTGTATCTTTCTCTTGCCTCACTGTCTCTGCCCCAACATCCCAACTCATAGGATGCCTGCCATCCTGGATGGAGAGGAGGCCGTGTCCAGGTGGCTAGACTTTGGGGATATCCCTACTCAGGAGGCACTGAAGCTGATTCGCCCCACAGAGAACATCACCTTCCACGCTGTCTCCCCCATTGTCAACAACTCGAGGAACAACAGCCCTGAGTGTCTGACTCCTGTCCACTTGGTGGTCAAGAAGGTAGGGGCCTGTCATGTTGCCTTGTCTCTCAGCCTATGGCATTTCCTAGTCCCAGCTTTCACCCCCAGAAGCACTCTCTGCCTGGGCTAACCCACCTGTAATCAGCCACCACACTCTGGTGGCTGAGGCAGGAGGATCCCTGCAAGTTCCAGCCTAATCTGGACTGCATAGCAAGACTGTGCCTCAGAAAGTCCCCCACATACAAAAAGAAATTGCTTTGGAACTGGATGCAGGGCTGCACATCTGTCATCCCAGCTACCTGAGGGGCTGAGGCAGGAGGATAACTAGTACAAACCCTGCTTGGGCAATTTAATGACTTAAGAGTCTTATCTCAAAATTTTAAAAACCTAGTTCAATTCCCAGCCAGAAAAATGGAAAAAAAAAGAAAGGAAACTGGAGGCATCCTTGGTGAACCTGGTAAACCAAATTCTCCTGAAGGTGATTGAGGAAGACACAAGCCTTCAGCCTGCTGAGGTCCACTCTCAGGCCGCTGGCCTCTGCAGTATCTTCTGTTACCTGCTTCAGCCACAAGGTGGAGAAGCGCCCTGTTCCCTCTCAGTATTCACAGGACCCAGGGTGTGGGGAGGGAAAGTGGCTGGACGGGAGGCCTGCAGTGCAGAGGAAGTTCCTAAGTTTAGTTAACTGACCCCATCGAGCCAGACATGGTGGTGCACACCTGATTGTTTCAGCCTTTGAGAGGCTGAGGCAGAAAGATGACCTTAAGTTCAAGGCCAGCCTGGATTACACAGCGAGATCCTGTGATGACCTGGAGAGTTCATGCTCAGAGCAGTGTCGGGACAAAAGCCACCAGGACAACCACCTTGTCCTGTTTCTCTTACAGTTGTTTTCCCCTTACCATAGGCACTGCCATCATTTTTCTTTTCTTTTTTTTTTTTTTTTTTTTTTTTTGTACTAAAAATCAAGACCTCACTCTTGCCAGGCAGGCACTGTGCCACTGAACTATATCCCCAGCCCTCATTTTTCTTTTGTCTCTGCAAACTCCTGTTACCCTGACGTGTTTTTCACTCTAAAATGAAACATGTATATATCTTCATTTTGCATCAGACACTGCCCCATTTCCGTGTGGTCTTTACTCTGTGAAGGGCACATTGTGCTAATTCAGAATCTTTTTGCTCAGGGCTGGGCGGTGGGGACTGCAAGGGGCACAGAGGGTGTGGACTGCGAGTCCAAACTCATTTCCTAGCACTACGTGCTATTTCTGTTCTCTGCCATGCTCTGAGCCCCTCCAGTGCCTTCCTTCTCTTTTGGCTTCTAACTGAGTCAGCCCATTCAGGAGGCTGGAACTGGGTGCTATGAGCCTTTTACTTTCGTAGGAGCCCAAGGCAAGTGGCAGCAGCCAAAAGATGATGCAGTGGCTAGCCACGAAGTCACCCAAAAAGGAAGACCAAGAGACACCCCAGAAGGACAAGTCCGACACACCCCAGTGGTCCAGCCAGTTCCTGCAGAAGAGCCCGCTGCCCGCCAAGAGAGGTGGTGCAGGCCTGCTGGTGCGATGGCTGAAGCAGGAAAAGGAGGAGGTGCCCGCGGCCAAGCGGCCTCACAGTCAGTAGGCAGCGTCCCTAACACAGACACTCGGGTGTGCGTGTGCGGGTGTGTGAGTGCGGGAGGAGGCAGCAGTGACTGTGTACGTTATGTGCTCATGAGGAAAGTGCCCTGGCTTTGAACAGGTGGGCAACTGTGGTAAGTTGGAAAAGGGGCCACCTGCTATTGGACTACCCCGCCCTGCCACTGCCACAGGGCTCTTCCTTGCTGGCCATGGGAGCCAAAGTGTAACATGGGTTTGGCTTTGGTTTGGTTTTCTTGGAAGGGTGAAACGTTATTCTTCAGAAATGTCAAGAGACTAATGGTAACTGTGAGGTAGTGAATTCAATCCCTGATTAAAAAAAAAAATGTTAAGTAATAAAATGATGACCCAACCCAGTCTGATTTACAGAGCATTTCAAACCTTTACTGACCATTTTTTTGGTTCTCATTTCTGGTATGCCACTTAGTCTTTTCCCTGTCCCATGCTTTTGACTGCAAGATGTGTCAAATTACACACAGTTCTTAAATGCTGTTCCGTGGCTCTGTCATGTTTTTCCTCTATAGTTACTATGTCCATTCTCTGTAAGGCCTTTGTGGTTTTCCGTATATAGAATTTCTTTTGCTACGATAACTAGATACCAAAATCTTTTTTCTTTTTTCTTTCTTTGCACTTTATTTTTTTCAAATCCATTTTATTCAAACATAAAAGTACAATAAAATTTCAAAGCACATCAGTCAGAGGTAGTAATAGTACATACATTGTACGTTGTCATCCCCAGATCATTCACCCAGAGTGCAAGACATCTGTGTTCAGTTGTCCAAACAATACCAATACAGATCTTTCTCTTCAGCGAACTCAGTGAAATCAGTAGTATAACTGTCTTAACTATTTTTATATACATATACACATATATATGTTTTTCTTTCAGCTTGTCACACTAATGAATATGTTCTCAGGGTATATCCATTTACCTATAAAAATGTCCAGTTTATCATTAATTATGGCTGAGTAATATTTTATTGTATAAAAATACCACATGTTTTTTATCCATTCCTCAGTCAGTGGCCATTTAGGTTGTTTCCAAGATCTGGCGATTATAAACTTAGCTGCTATAAAACATGGGTGCACATATATCTCTGTGGTATGATGTTTTTAATTCTTTTTGGGAAGATACCCAGAGGGGAATAACTGGGTTGAATGGGCCCACCAATCTTAGTTTTTTAAGGAAGCTCCACACTGCCAAAACCATTTTTTAAGAAAATATTTATATATTTTTTCCTAGTGGGCTAGAAACTTTAAGAAGAATGACTTAATTATCTTTATATTTTTAGAACTAGGCTTAGTATGTGCAGGGCAATATTTTATTTTCTTATTTTATTGTCTTTTTGAGACAGGGTTTTGCTGTGCAGTTCAGGCTGGCCTTGAACTCACTTTGTAGTCCGGGCTAGCCTCGAACTCACAATGATCCTCCTGCCTCAGTCTCCTGAGTGCTGGGATTACAGGTGCATGCCACTACGCCTAGCCATGCAGAATAATACTTTAATCTTAATAAGGTAATGAAATTTTTCCTCCAGCAGAGATAAAGTACGGTGAATATCAGACCATTATAATCCTAAGCATTATGTGGCAGTGTTTTCAGTATAGTGTAGTGCAGAGTAATGACACTTTCTTTATGTTAATAATTGATTTGTGTGCGTGTGGGATCTAGAATTAGTATCCTGGTCAGTTGATTAATTTGATGTTGAATCTTAATTTCTTCACATTGGCAATAGAAATGAAATTTTAGACTTGCAATTAATTTTTAGTGGGTGATCATGACATAAATGAGTATTATCCCTGTCTGTACAGTTGACCAATAAATACTGTTGTGTTATTTCATGCATGTAGGGGTTTCTTTTGCGGGACAGAGGATCAGATGTTGAGAGTTTGGACAAACTCATGAAAACGAAAAACATACCTGAAGCTCATCAAGATGCATTTAAAACTGGTTTTGCAGAGGGTTTTCTGAAAGCTCAAACATTAACACAAAAAACCAATGGTAAGTTGATTTGAGAAAAATAACTGAAAAGATGTCATAGGCCTACATTTAAACTATTACAAATGATTTTTCTGAAATCATTCATCCTGTTTCCCAGCATTCAGGAGGCTGCAGCAGGAGGATAACTAAGAGTTTGAGACCAGCCTGGGCTACATAGTGAGCTCAGGGCCAGCTTGCAATTAAATAGTGGGATCCTGTCTCAAAAAACAAAAATTCATCCATCTTCTTACATGGGTATATTCCATTATAAGTTAAACTATGTTTGAGTAGAAATATTGGCAGTTTACTTTCTCAAGAGATAAGTCAAGAACAGAAAGCATATGTGGTTTCGTGAAGTTTTGAGGAAGAAGATGCTGAAAGGCTGTGGCTGTGCACAAGAATGCTAGCTTCCAAAATTGCACATTATAAAAGTATAATTATCAGTATCCTGATACTTGCATTTTGTTTAGCTGCAATATCTCATTGGTGGTATTCAGCTTAAGCCTTTCTCTCTCTCTTCCAGATTCTTTAAGGCGAACTCGTTTAATTCTTTTTGTTCTGCTTCTGTTTGGCATTTATGGACTCTTAAAAAATCCATTTTTATCTGGTAAGGATGCTTTTATTTATCTGCCATGTTAACTTTTTTCTTTCTTTCTTTTTTTTTTTTTTTTTTTGTGGTAATGAATCAAACTCATGTCCCCGTGCTTGCCAGGCAGGCACGTGTGCCCCTGAGCTAAATCCCCGGCAACTTTTTTATTTCTTTAAATATTCTTTTCCTTTTCACTGTTTGTAGATTATGTAGGCTTTTTGTGTTTCAATGATGAAATACCCAAGGCTGACTATTGAGTACTTTTTCTAAAAGAAAGAGGTTGATTTTAGCTTGTGGTTCTGGGGGTTCGTGGGTGTGGCACCTGGTAAGGAACTGCTGGTGGATTGCATTACAAGACCTTTCATTCCTAGTGGTTAGTTTTCTAGGGTTTTAGAAAATGATACATGTGGGATGATCAAATTTTAGCATTATGTAGGATGTTATAATAACAATATAAGGCAGTCTTGTGCTTCAAAGACAAGCCCATAAATTGAATTTTTTCTTAATCAGATGAATCCAGTATCTTTTCAGTTTGCAGTTCTGAAATACAGTTATAAATACCACATGTAGGTAGTTCTAATTACTTTCTCAGCTATCATTCAGTTTTTACCATATGTTCATTCTTTGTAATTATTTAAGATCCTTAAACAGTTCATTAAAAGGCTCAAACTGTTAGTGTCCATTCTAGAATTACTGTTTTATATATGTATTTTCCCACTTGTGTGTTCCTGTTGTGTTAGGCATTTCTTCTGTTAGAAATTTTTTTTGTTTTTGTCTAAGAAATTGAACCCAAGACCTGCACTCAGCTGTATCCACAGTCCTTTTTACTGTGAGACAGAGTCTCACTTGAGTTGTCCAGGTAGGCCTGAGCTTGAGATCGCCCTGCCTCAACCTCCCAAAATGTTGGAATTACACACATGTACCACCATACCGAGCAAGCATTTCTTTCTTTTGCCTTTAAATTTCACTATGTCTTAATGGCAATCTTTTAGTTTCATGAAGTTATTAGAAATCACTGTACTCATTTGTAACTGTTCCACTTGACCTGGGGAGCAATTTTTAAAAACTTTGTAACAGTTGCTCAGGGTAGCTTTGAAGTATTTTATCCTACCAAACTCTTCCTCTCATATGCTTAAAGATGTCATTATTGAAGAATACTTCAAAAGTGAAATCATTTCTTTCCTTCTTTTAATTAAATGAATGGACCGGGTTTTTATGCTGTGTTTAAGGCAATATATTTCACAATGCAGATCTGTAACCAGTTGTGTCAGAATAATTGAAGGTGCTTGTTAAAAATACAACCTCCTGGGCTCTTTCTCAAATCTGCAAACTATTAGTGTGTAGCACGGTTTTGAAGATTTGCATTTTAACACAGTTTTCAAGTGGTTTTTCAAAAATTCATACTGAAATTTGATAACCATTGATTTTAAGCTTTCTATTATTAGTCCAAGAACAGGAAAATAATTTTTGGTTTTAAAGGAAAGTACAAAAATATATGTCTTTAATGTGAATCACTTGCTATTTGAACATGATCTAGAAATCAGAAGACCTATTTTCTGTTCTGTACTTTGTTTCGGTGTATGTGAACAGAGATTTTTCCGATGTTTAATTTTGGAGGCTTTGGTTTCTTACATCTAAAAATTAAGATGATTGAAATTTTGTTAATCTGTTAAATATTAACATCTGTTTTCTTCCATTTAGTCTGCTTCCGGACTACTACCGGGCTTGATTCTGCAGTAGATCCTGTTCAGATGAAAAATGTCACTTTTGAGCACGTTAAAGGAGTAAGTTTTCTTTGCCTTCTTTGTACATTATATAATTGATACTCAAAGGACAGCATTTGATTCTAAAAGTTGTTCTGAAACAGATAAATTTAAAAAACTAGCAACCTTAGAATCTTTATGGGGACCAGGTTAAAGAAGAGAGGGAGAGGGGCTGCGTTTTTATATAAGGTTTTTTGTTGTCCCCCTTTTCTTGGTCTTTTTAAGACATAGTTTCACTATGCATTTTAGCTTGGCCTTGAACTCACTTTATAGGTCAAACTAGCTTGGAGGTCACAGTGATCTTCCTGCATCAGCATCCCAAGTGCTGGGGTGACAGGCATGTGCCACCACATCCAGCTTTAAATAAGGTTTTTCAGGTTTAAGTATGGAACTAAATAGGTAAAAAGATAGTAGGAGATAAGGATTTGTGTAGGAGCACTTTGGATAGTGTCTTAGAAGCCATTATAAACACAGCCTTTTAGTCTGTGAAAATTGGTTCCATAAAATTTTGAACAAAGATATGGTGTGGTTTAACAGTGTAGTTGTTGTGTTCATAGCCTCTAAAGTCTAGAAAGTACAAAGTTAGATGACAGCCTGTTGCTGTCATCCAGATAAGAGATGATGCTAAGACAAACATTAAAGTGAAGTTGGTAAGATGTAGTTAGGTCTTGAAGGTAGGTACAGTAGGATTCCCTGATTAGAAGTTAAAAGTATAAGAGAAATACAGATCAAGAAGACCACAAGGTATGAGCAGAGCAGTTAGAGGAACAAAATTCCCATTTCTGAAATTAAAAAATTAGACTGTGGATGGAAGCAATATTCAGAATAAAGATAAGAAATTCAGTTGTAGTAATGTTAAATGTGAGGTGAGAGCACTGAATATGCACTTGAATACATCTTTTAGGAATTTTGGGGAAAGTTCAAACTGAAATGAAAAATCCTGAAGTTTACATTTAAGATATGAACTCTATGTGTTTAAATGAGATTACCAAGGAAGTGAGTACGCCTAGCAAAGAGAAGAGTTCTAAACCTAAACTTTAGCGTACTCACGGGTTAACACGCCAGAGGAAGGATCAAGAGCAGGGAATGAGGAGCTGTCTGTGAAGTAGTAGGGGAGGGGATAAACCAGAAAAAAATATTTCCTCACCAGGGAAGATGGGCCAGCTAGCTGTGTGAGGTGATGTTGATGGTTCCAGTGATAATTGACTTTCTTTTTAGCAGTGTGTCATTGGTGAACTTGATAATGAACAATTTCAGTGTGATAACAGGTGTTAAGTTGTGAATGTTCATCAGCAGAAAATAAAGTGGGGTATTAGTAATGTAGTAGGTGAAAGCTGATTGTGAAGCCAGAGTCAGGATCATCGACTGAGAATATGGATGGAAGAGCAATGTGTAATTTCTGAAAAAGGGAGTTTTGTGACAATGGGAGAATGAGTGGATTAAGGAAATATGACACTTGGAGCCACTCAAATTTGGATCACAAATTTATATCAAAGACCAGTCAACATAAATATTTCTGATTTTAATTTTTTTCTTCAAATGCAAATTCTGAAACTTTAGTTCTATACTGTGCTTTATTAATAAATCTGATATGTATTTGATTTTATGAGTGATAGAGACTGAGTAATTGCCTTTCAAGGAATGTTTAGGGAGAAACTTTCTATAAGAAAAATTGAAATTTATGATCTACAGCTTCCAACTCTGATGTGGAATTTTAATAAGGGCTGTTAGCTGGGTGTGGTGGTTCATGCATGTAATCCCAGCGGCTGAGTCAGAAGGGTTACAAATTAGATACCCTGGGCAATTTAGCAAACCCATGTCTCAAAATAAAAATTAAAAGGGCTGGGATGTTCTCAGTTTAATGTAGAGTTTAATCCCTTCTACAGTAATCAAATTTTTAAGAAATTAGAAAGGCCTAGTGCCATCACCACACACACACACACGTGTGCAAATTAATATGGGCTCCTTAAAATAATTCATTTTTTAATCGTGTTTAGCACCATTTTCTTGAATAGGTTTTATATTCCACTGGTAATACTTTGCCAAAAAGATTGAAAGAGAATTTGAGAAGTAAGTACTCTCTTGTTTTACTCTTTCACTTTAATGTTGGCATTATATCCATGTGGAATGTGGAGCGCAGGCTGACCTCAAACTTGAGGCAATCCTTCTGCCTTCTGCTGGGGTTTCAGGAGTGCACCAGCACACCTGGCTGATGTTTTTGACCAGTTTTTTTTATCAGTCTTGTTTTCCTAGGTGTCTGCCTTTGAATACTTTTTTAAAAAATACTCTCTTTTTAAGTTAATCAGCCACTAGGTGAAATTTATTGCAGAATAATTTGTATGTTTGTGTATGGAAAGCAGAAAAATAATTACATAATCTAAAAATGCAGTTAGGAAATTAAGGAAGAAAAAGACAGTTAACACTCTTGCAAACCATATGCCTGTTTATCTTTATAGTGCTGAGATTTCAAGTGTGTGCCACTACATCTGATCATTATGTGGGGAAAAAATGTAGTCTTTTAATAATGCAGCCAGAACATTTTAAGCATAAGTTTTTTGAAATGTGACATGTTCACATAAAGGTGTCCAAACCACAAATCATCACAAAGTGAGCACACCTATGTCAGTAGTGCCCAACTCAAGAAACAGGGAGATTATTAACAGACCTCCAGAGCCTCTTGTTAGCTTTTTTCTACTTACTGTTTCCTCCTCTCTCTGTATAATCATATTCCTGATATTTTACATTAGTTTTCCCCTGTTTCTGAGGTTTTTTTTTTTTTTTTCAAATAGTTGTAATACCTGTAGAATGTGCCCTTTCAGGTTTGGCTTCTGTCATTCAGTGTGATGCTTTTGAGATCCAGCCATGTTATTTGGAATTGTAGTTAATTTATCTTCATGGCACAGTAATGCTATTGTACAAATACTGTAGTACTGTGTATTAGGTTTTTATGTGGTTGTTTGTAGTTAGGCATAAATAATACTCTTAGACATGTATCTTGTTGAACACATGTTTGCATTTCTTTTGTGCTTTGGAGTGAGCAAGGCTTTGTTATTAACGATTAACTTTGTGAACGTTTTAGTAAAAATTTTAAGGATTGAATCAGTAACTTTCAAAGACCTACCAAGCTTAACAAAAACTAGCCAGAAAAACCTTTCTGACTCTAGCAGTTGTAATGTTTTCTAGGTAGGCATGGTGGTGGACACCAAGTAGTCCCAGCACTCAGGAGGCTGAGGCAGAAAGATCACTGCAAATTTCCAAGCCAGCCTTTGCTGCATATTGAGATCAAGGCCAGCCTGAACTACAGAGTGAGACCTTCTGTCAAAACCAAACCACACCAAACAAAAAAATCATAGTGTTTTCTGGAAATTCTTGTGGGAAATGTCCCACAAATAGTGGTAAAAACTAATCATGACCCAGAATTGTAGGTTCTCAACTTGCCTTTTGGCCATGCTTGCTGTGGTAATTTCTTTTTAACCCTGCCCCGTGTTCTTTTTGTTTATTGAGGAAATGTAAGAATTTCAAATCATTTTTGTTGGCATGATTAAGAGACATTGTATAGTTGGAAACAAGGAAAAGGAAAGAAGCTTTTGAGTGCTTATACGGGGGCATTTTTATATACTTTTTCCTTGACATAAAGAGAAAGCCAAGTTAATTCTGTAACCAAAGTAAACTTGTGATGTTTAAAGCTTTGTTAATTTACTAACTTGGTAATTTACTAACAAGAAGCATTATTTAAAATATTTGACAAATTATCTTACTTTAGGTGGAGGAAGCTAAACAAGAATTACAGGAAGTTGTTGAATTTTTGAAAAACCCACAGAAATTTATTGTGCTTGGGGGAAAACTTCCAAAAGGTAGAGTAACTTTTCCCTTAACATGATTTTATGTCATTAAATAATATGTTTTTAATTTAATTTTGTTAGGGACTAACTGATTAGAAGTTAGTTAATACTATTTTTAAAAATACGTGCTTTTGTGTGTTAAGATAGATGACCATATTACTAAGTTTTTGTTGGTTCATTGAACACAATTGTTTGCAGTCTCACTGTTTGAATGTCCACTTTGTATGCTTTAATCCTGTAACTTGAACAACTATTTCTAAGATGACTATGTAATCTATTAACTAGTGATTTTTTACTGGTTTTTTTTGAAATTCTGTATTACTTGTATCCTTATTCTGTTTTGTTTTCTCCTTTAAATAAAAAAAAAAACGTGCTTTTTAATATAGCCTTCCATAAGCCTTTTTTAGTAATTTACATTTTTTTATGTGTTGAAGCTTTAAGTTGCAAAAATAATCTAAAAGCTTGTTCTTCCCATACCTGAAACCCACCCTTAGTACTGTGCTGTTTTTTTCTCTTTATATGCCTATCTTTACTTAACCGTTTGAGAGTCAGTTGTAGACATAATACTTCGTTACTCCTAAATATAGTACTTGTATTAGAGATACTGTAAGGATATTCTTTTATATAATTCTAGTATAACTATTAAAATTAGTAAATTTATTGTGGATAAAAAACAATTACCAATTCACATTTCATAGCCAGCATTCATTCCAAGAGTATCCTTCAAGAACTATCCAATAGTATCCTTGTCCTCCATCCCCCAGTGTTGAGATCCAGTCAAGGATTGCACAGAGCCTGTAGTTTTATCATTAATATGAGATAGCTCTTCATCCTTTTTGTGGGTAGAAAAGAGGGTCTTTCATAATTTTTACAATTATGAAATATTAATTGCTAAATTATAGCATGTGTTATCATTTATATTGAATTTTAATATGGTTTCCAATTTATTATTATTAAAAATAGCACTGTGATGACCATCCTAATAGTCTTTGCCTTCATGTTTATTTTCCTAGAATGAATTTCTAGAAGCCCTCTTTTTTAAAGAGGATAAAATTAACGAAAATAAAACAATAAAATCAATCAAAATAAACCAGTATAAGTGAGACAGGACTTCAGAATCTTATGAAATCAAAAATAGTCACCATAATGCCTTTTGTTGTCTTCAAAATAGCTGCAGATACCTTTGGACTTAGTAAAAATTGAATGGAATAGAAACAGTAAAAACAAAACAATGAATGCAATAAAGGACTTCAAAACAAGTCTATAGTAAATCCAAAATTGCTACCATAATATGTCTTGTTATCTTAAATAGCTGCTTATGTCATCAGATTTAACATTATCAAACAAAACAAAAGAGAACAAAACCCAACCCAACAAAACAGTGAAAATGATACAGTTTCCAGATGGAGATTGCTTCCTAGTGTGGTCTTGTTCTCTCCCTCCACAGTCCATGAATGGTGCTGACTCACAGAGAAAGGTTTGGGTTGTCACTACTCTGGTAGTGGCCTGCACATGGCACTGGTTTCCAAGCAGGGATCACCTCCTGGTGAGGCCTGGTTCTTTCCCCCTGCATTCTGTGGATGTCTCTGACTCACAGAGAGAGGCTTGGGTCTGGCTGTCAAAACTCTCTTCTTTTATACTGCTTGATATCTATTGAGAATTCAGGAATACACAAGAATGTTTGCATGAACCTTTGCTACATTAGGGTATATTTATGAAGTCTGTGCTATAGCATCATAGAAAACCAAAACAAATTATCTTCTTCTAATCAGGGAGTGTTTTATAAATGTGTGGACACATCCTTAGGTACTAAGATGTAGTCTCTAGAAGTTAATGTGATTTAAGTTAATACCATACAAACTATTTAAGTATGGGTAAAACTAGGATAGTCCTCAGTCTTTTTGTTTTTTAGTCCTCAGTCTTTTCAAGCTGTCCTATAAAATATTTTTTATATTACAGTGCAGCATCAATACAGCTTTATTTTTTAATCTGTATTTTTACCAAGTTGTGATATGAATGAGAATTGTACTTTTCCATCTTATTATGAAAACTTTTAAAACTTCTCGCATAGGTTATTTACCTAAATTCAGCAGTTGTTAATGTTACTGTGTGTGTGTGTATGTTTGTGCACATGTGTGCACACATGCATATAGTATGCCTTTCTCCCCTGAACATTTGAAAGAAAGCTGTAGATAATAGCTTGGGTATAAGACTACTTAAGAGTAAGGACATTGTCCTAATTTGTCCTTCACAAGGAAAACACTAGATTTTCAAAATATACTCTCCAGTATTTGTTTTTTATGGAAAAGTATCAAAATTCATGCATTACATTTGGTTGTTTGTCTTTTAATGTAAATTTCATTTATGAGTAGGTTTATATTATTTTGCTGCATAAATGTGTTTATACTACTTTCCTTGTATAGTCTTATATAAACATCTTTTGTATCTTGCTGATATATAAACAGTATTTAAATGACAGCGGGAAATTAATTATAGAGATCCTCAAGGGAATGATTAGCAGAGACAAATGTTTTCCTGGGTTTGAAAATGTTGATGATGTCTATTCTTTGAGCTTCTTCCGAATTATGTCAATTGTTTTATAGGTTCTTACTGGGGATTTTTTAATAACATATTTGAATCACTTTTGTTTTTCTTTTAGGAATTCTTTTAGTGGGACCACCAGGAACAGGAAAGACACTTCTTGCCAGAGCTGTGGCAGGAGAAGCTGATGTTCCTTTTTAATATGCTTCTGGATCAGAATTTGATGAAATGTTTGTGGGTGTGGGAGCCAGCCGAATCAGAACTCTTTTTAGTATGTTGTGGTGTATTTTTTATGCATTGTTAAATGTTGTTCATTTTAGGAGGAAAATGATTTTTAATTATTTTTGCTACTTGGTTGTGCGTGATAGTCAGCAGAAAGAGGCACTGTGGGATTCTGGTTTCAAATAACTTAATATATATGAGTTAATATAGAGTTGTTACTAGTTTTCTAATAGGCTGATCATTTTAAGAAGTGATATGGTGATATGGTGCACACCTGTAATCCCAGCACTTGGAAAATTGAGACAAGAGGGTTGCCATGAGTTCAAGGCCAGCCTGGGCTATTTAAGTGAATTGAAGAACAGTTTGCCCTGCCTTTTTAAAAAAAAAAAAAAAAAAAAAAACGCAATGAAAGGGCTGGCTGGGACTTTTGAAAACTTAGGGTTTTTTTTTCCCATTTTATTCATCATATGTAATTAGGAGTTATTGGCCTCTAAAGTGATTTGTACAATTAGGGAGAATGAATAGCCAATAATAGTCAATTATTATTATTTTATATCATTCTCTTTGGTTTATTTTTCCCCGTACTACTATTCTTAGTAAAAAATGATCTTTTGTGAATTTTCTTCTTATGATTTTTTTCTGTTTTTAACTCTTAACAGTCTTAGGCATTTTAATATTTATAAGGTTTTTAGTTAATTTTTTTCAACTTATTTGAATACTTTCTGTTTTCATAGGGGAAGCAAAAACAAATGCTCCTTGTGTTATATTTATTGATGAATTAGATTCTGTTGGGGGAAAGAGAATTGAGTCTCCAATGCATCCGTATTCAAGGAAGACTATAAATCAACTTCTTGCTGAAATGGATGGGTAATAAGAGTCTTTGTTTGTATGTGAAATATACTGTTATTTTTTAAAAATTAGGATTCATCCTGTCGTTAAAATTGTTCGAAATAACAGGTCCCTCCCAGCACTTGATATATGTAAATGTGATTTCATGCATCCTGGTCTCATAAAGCATTTGATAATAAAAATGGTATGGGTATAGAGAGCTTTTCTCACAGTATCATATTACTTCCATTACCAATTGAGTGTTTTATGTATCAGCTTTGCCCCTTTGTTCTTGCAGTTTTGAGCTGCCTTTGATGTACTGCTGGTGTTAAAACTTAGATCACTGTTAACCATTTAAAAGCAAGAAATGATGTTGCTTTGAAAGAAATGTCTTAAAAATCATGTGGGTGAGACTTTTTGGAAATAGTCTTAAAATTTTGTGAGGTCTGCATACTGGAGATTGTACCCTCTTCCGTTTTATTTTATTTTGGCCAGACTGATTTTGAACTTGAGACCCTTCTATTTTACATCAGTATCTGTAGTAACTGAAATTAGTAGAGATAGGCTTGGTTTAGGAGTTTTTTCAAAAATGAATCAGGCACCCAGCACCTGCTTTTTGTATCAGGTCATGGTTGCCTAAGGAGAATAGATAGATTCGTGATCACAGATGATGTGTGGTTTATTATGAGTCTCTTCCTGACCTTTCACTAAAATTAATGATGGGGGGCCTGGAGATTTAGCTCAGTGGCATGAGTGCTTGCCTGACAAGCTCGAGGGTCGTGAGTTCAATCCCCAGGACCAAAAAAAAAAAAAAAAAAAATTAACATAAAATTAATGATGAAAGATCTTTGTGTAGATTATTGCTGTATGTGTAATATGCTTCAATTGTAAGTAAAAGGATACTCTTTTCTTTTCCTTAATAGTTTTAAGCCCAACGAAGGAGTAATCATTATAGGAGCCACAAACTTTCCAGAAGCATTAGACAAGTAAGTATTAAAAGAAAGTTTTTGCAAAATACATCATATGCTTTACTTTATGCTAAGAGAAGAGAACCATCACAAAAGACATTATAGTGCTGGGGATTTAGCTCAGCGGCATATACGCCTGCCAGGCAAGTGCAAGGTCATGAGTTAGATCCCCGGTACCCCCCGTCCCAGCCAAAAAAAAAGATGACATTATATGATTGCATTTATATGAAATGTTCAGAATAAGCAGATCTGGGCAGGGCATTTAGCTCAGTGGTACAAGCGCCTGTCTGGCAAGCATGCGGTCATGAGTTCAATCCATGGTACCATAAAAAAAATAAGCAGATCTACAGAGACAGAAGATGAGCATGCCACAGAATTGTGAGGAAAGGAGAGTGACTGTCTGTAGGAATGGTACTTCTTTTTTGTGAGGATGAGAATATTTGAAAATTAGGTTGAAGTGCACCCCTCATCATTATACTTCTCAATAAAATTATTAAAAGATTTTTTTTTCTTCAATATTGTCCTGGCTGGTCTTGAATGCCCAGGTTCCAGCAATCCTCCTATCTCATCCTCCCAAGCAGCTGAGACTACAAGCATGTGGTATCACTCTAGAAGTACTGCCCTTGGATGACTTACACGCATATATTTGTTATTGAAATTATATGCTACTTTTGGTTGCACATCTACCTAAATGAACCTTTGATCTACCTTTTTTAAAACATGAAGTCTTATTATATGGCTCAGCCCACATTGAAACTCATGATTTTTCCTTCCTTAGTCACCTGAGCAACTGACCTTATAGACGTCTGCCAGCATGCCGAGCTACCTTCTGTTTATTGAGACTGTTGTTTCAGTCTTGTGTTTATTATGTGTAAGCATAGTTAGCTTATTATCTCTCTTTGTATTCCTCACCTAATGCCTTAAAAGTCCCATTCATTTATTCATTTAAAAAAATCTATTTCTTAATTTGTGTGTATCCAGCAAATGTTGTCATTTTCAATTTCTTACTCTAGAGGAGTTTTCTTTGGGATATCAAATACATTTGGAAATTTTTTGTGTATAAATTTTTTAAAATGCAAATGTGCAATGCAAAATAATTTAAAAGGCTCCAAAACAAGGATTTGTGTTGTAAGTTTGGGGCCGATAGGGAGAAAGCAAAATGTAAAACAAGACACACAGAACTACTGTGCGTTCACTTGAAATATAAATGCACCTATCAAGGTGCCAGCGTTTTCAGAGATAGCTGAAACATTCCATAAAGCTAAATGTGTTTCCTGTAATAAAAGAGAGCTTTTATATCTAAACTGTTATTTCAAGGTAAAATTTGAGGAACCAAATGTTGTCTGTGAGTATGTTTCTTTATTCTCAGTTGTTTTAGTTTATTCTTAGGCTGATAACAGTCAGGTTGTATTTGAAGTTTCTAATTAGTTACATTTAGAACTTTCACAATTTTTCCCAGTTATAATTTTAATAGTATATTTTGGCACTTTCTCCTAACTTGAATCTGATTTTAAAGGTGAATATTTTGCTATACTACAGAAAGTTGTGTTCTTTTTTCTTTAAAATATAAATTCTTCGTAAAGTACTTTCAATTTAGCTATTTTAGATGTTAATATTGTGTTCTATTTTTACATAGCTGTTGATCCAGAAATCATTGCTCGAGGAACTGTTGGGTTTTCTGGAGCAGAGTTGGAGAATCTTGTGAACCAAGCCGCATTAAAGGCAGCTGTTGATGGAAAAGAAATGGTTACCATGAAGGAACTGGAGTTTTCCAAAGATAAAATTCTAATGGGTAGATTTTCTTTCTTTTTTGTCCGATATTCTTCATGATGTTTGGGAATTAATTTTTTTTTTGGTAAATATTTTTTGTAGACAGCTAATCTCTCAGACTGTACTGAATTTAATCTTCCTCTAAAATTTCAGTGAGTATTGAAATGTTAATAAACCATTTCATATATTCTCAGTTTGAGAGTCAAACAATTCTCATTACACAATAAAGCAGGCATTAATCATACCTGTCTTGTCACTATAGACTTTTTTACAGCGTGGCACATTTGTTTTGTTTCTTAAAAGGCTTTTTTTTTCCTGATTGAAAAGAGAAATGTTGAATCCCAGCAATTGGTAGGCTGAGGCACAAGAATTTCCGTGAGTTCAAGGCCAGTCTGCACTATATAGTGAGACTTTGTCTTAAGTGGGAGGATAGGGCTACCAAATAAATGGATAGGGCTGAGGGTTGTAACTTAGTAGTGTATGTGAATCCCTGGATTTGATAACCCAGCATTACAAAGATAAAAAAGAAAGGTTACAGAAGCATGAAAATATGTACCTGAAAACAGCAACACAATATGGTCTATTTTATTTTATTTATGTATTTTTTACAGTTTGATCCCTTAAAGAACAAATTATTTTAATAGCTTACATGACTTAGGATGTTTGTGGTAAGCTGCCTGTACAGTTTCTCTTGTCTAGCATTGCCGATAAATTTAGTTAATTTTATGCTGTTTAATTTTTACTTTAAATCTTGGATTAGCTTAAAAAACAGATTATGACTTCCAATAAACTGAAAGTTTGTTTTTTAGAAAGAAAAATTAACCTTTTCTTACTATTTTTTTTGTCTTTTTTTTTTTTTTTTTTCGTTTTTATCGGTACCAAGGATCGAACTCACAACTGCCTGCTTGCAAGGCAGGTGCTTATGCCACTGAGCTAAATCCCCAGCCCCTACCTTTTCTTATTATAAGGATAAGGTGATAGTTTCTTTTTTCTTTGTGTGCTATTTTGTTTTGTGATGCTAGGGTTTAAACCCAAGACTCTCATGTGCTAGCCAAGTGTTTTACCACACAGGCCATCTGCACCCCAGTTGATAGTTTTAAAATGTTTGATTTGCTTTTAACAGTATATTTTAATTTCTGTATGTCATAGATTGAATTTTACTAATTTCTGAAATATTACACTGTTTAAAATATTTGGAATACAGTTACCTAGTAAACATCTTTCACCTTTCTGCAGCATCGGTTATCAAATTCATTTGGTTCCAAATGCATATTTGAACAATACAAAGTTTGAGAACTGAACATGTTTTTCCTATAATAATACAAAACTACCTAGTTGGTTCTGAGGCCCAAACATTACATAAGTACTGTATATTGTCTATGCCAGAACTGAGACTGGAGCAATGTCTCTTTATGTGTACAGCAAGATGTGATGTGTGACTCACTCTCAGCCTGTCCGGTTCTTTCAAGTCAGATTTCCAGTTTGGCTGTTGAGCAAAATTATGAACGCCAAGCAGATTTTTTTGAACTTTGCTGTTTGAGTAGTGCAGAGTTCGAGCTTGGAACTATTTGACAACCAAGTTATCGCTGTTACTACTTTCAGAATTAAAGATAATGATTTGTTGTTTTGGGTTTTCGTTGTTGTTGTTATTTTATATTAATCCCCAAACAATAGATGTTATTTTAAGTACACTTTCTATGCAGTACATAACTTAAATTTTCTTTGTAGGCCCTGAACGAAGAAGTGTGGAAATTGATAACAAAAACAAAACCATTACAGCTTACCATGAATCTGGTCATGCTATTATTGCATATTACACAAAAGATGCAATGCCTATCAACAAAGCTACAATCATGCCACGAGGGCAAACTCTTGGACATGTAAGATTGTTACGGTTTCTTTTATTTGCTTTCTAATAGAGCTTTCCAGAAATTTATGGAAGAAATTGCTGATTAGTTACAGTGAAGCTACTTTTCAAAAAGTGATAGCTTCTCTTTTAATTCATGAATCTTTTTGAAATCAGAGCCATTTGTGAAGTTTTTCTATTAATAAAGAATATTTCATAATGTATTTCAGATGTTTTATATTTATATTATGAAAGCTTAACTGAGTGCAAACTCTTAAATAATTTAGTGTTCAACTAGTTAGAGAAATTATGTTTTGTAATGACTAGGTCTATAGCTTTTCTAATTTTTTTCATTTAGTAGAAGTTTTATTTACATCTTTAAAACATTTAAAATATGAAAACATTAAAATGTTTAAAACATTTTAAACTTTTGTTTTTTTTTTTTGAGGCAGCATTTCACTATATAATTCCGGCTAGCCTTTAATTCACTTTGTAGCCCAGGCTGGCTATGACCTCGAAGTGATCTTCCTGCCTTGGCCTCTCAAGTGCTGGGATTACAGGTGTGTGCCACTGTGCCCTGCTTTGCATTGTAAACATGTCTTATGTAATTGAAAGCAAAATAGGCCTGTTGAAGCATTATCTACCTATTGCTTTTAAAATTCATAATTTTTTTTCCTGTCTAAATTGCTGCTTTTGCTGGACATGGTGACCCATGCTTATAATCCTAGCACCCAGGATACTGAGGAAAGAGGATCACTGTGAGTTCGAGGCCAGCCTGGGCTACACAGTGAGTTGAAAGTTGGCCTGACCTGCGTAGTGAGACCCTGTCTTAAAAAAGAAAAAATTGATGCTTTTATCATTAGTCACCTGTTAATATCTTTTCACTTTTCTGCAGCATTATACTAAATGCTATCTGTGATGAGAGTTACATGGTAATTCTGATTTTACTTTCAGGACTCTATGTGAATTCTTTGGCTATTGTCTGATTATTTTTCAATTGTCTAGGTGTCACTGTTGCCTGAGAATGACAGATGGAATGAAACTAGAGCCCAGCTGCTTGCTCAAATGGATGTTAGTATGGGAGGAAGAGTGGCAGAGGAGCTTATATTTGGAACTGACCATATTACAACAGGTTGATATTAGATAATGGCTTTACTTTAAATTGGGTTTGTTGATTTAAATTTTGTTTGTAAAAAAAAAATGAGGTGTATTTTTAATTTTTTAAAAAAAAATTTTAGGTGCTTCCAGTGATTTTGATAATGCAACAAAAATAGCTAAGCGGATGGTTACCAAATTTGGAATGAGTGAGAAGGTAATACTTTTGTTTTCTTGCGTCAGATGATACACCAAGTGCCTCTTTTAGAAATCTGATTATGAGGTATATTTACTTTTTCCAGTCACGTTCCAAATGCAGTTGAGATTGTTTGTTCTAAACAGTGCTGTAATATTTTGCCAAAGTGTAGCATTCTTTTAGCTGCTTCAGAATTATATAGATAGTAACTGTTATTTCATGAGTTAACTAAACGTTAAAACAAAATTATTTAGCCTTTTCATATCACATTAAAAACTTACTTTCTGAGCCCCTTTATCTTTTACAAATATTTCATATTTCCACATTATTGCTGTGTCTCCCTCAATCACTTCCATACTTCAGATGAAGGATTTCTGGATTTGGAGCCACGGTTTCTAAGAATGCAATCAGGTCCAGAATTAAAAGATTTAAAATTTTTCCACCTTGTGCACCCTTAGTATTTTGATTTTAGTCTTTTATAGTTTCAAAAGAAAGATAAAATTTCTTTGCCCTGACAAACATTTTTATGTTCTTAACCTCCTATGATATTTGTTACTTAGTATATAGGCTAGTTCGTTCTCTGTTAAATTCTTTGGCACTTTGTTCTTTCCTGCTTAATTACTCTACTCTTTTTTATTTTAGCTTGGAGTTATGACTTACAGTGACACAGGGAAACTGAGTCCTGAAACTCAATCAGCCATTGAACAAGAAATAAGAATCCTTCTAAGGGTAATAGTATTATGTGTCTGAACTTCTTTTAGAGATAAGGTGCCTAACTAGGTACAGTAAGTCCCTGACTTAGGAACATGTTCTGTTCCAGAAAGACTTTTATAAGTCACATTTGTGCTTGTGTCCGACAAAGTGAGTCTTACACTAATATACAATTGAAAAAACCAAACACAAATATTTAATAAGTCTCTGACTGTACTGTGCTACAGATACACTGTACAGTGAGCATACAGCAGCACAACTGTGACAGTATCCGGAAGACACATAAGTTACTTCCTTGATTTGTTCACCATCTATGAATGTTCATAATTTGAGGTTCATTCATACCTGTGAATATTCACAGCTCAGATATTTGTTAAGCTGGGGACTTACTGTACTTTCAAAATGATAAGGGACCAGGATTGGTGGCACATGCCTGTGATTCCAGCCTGTAGCAGGCTAAAGTAGGAGACTGCCATAAGTTCAAAGCAAACCTTATTACATAGTGAGACTCTGTGTCAGATGAAGAACAAAAACAAACAAAGCAAAACAGAGACAAGGTCCAGCTTGTTTAAAGCCCTAGGTTTGATCCCCAGCACCACAAATAAACCATGTGATGGCAAAGCTCTGTGTTGAGTAGAAACATCACCCTTATAAAAATAAGTGTATTTTGTAGGAATGATTTAAATACATTATCAAGAAACCCTTTTCCTGAATTGAGTCCTTATTTTAGTTTGATCGTAGGCTGAATAGAATTCAGTTCTACGTTAGCTACAAAATTATAAGAGATGATAGAATGAGGGCTGCTTTTCACTGAATCTGTCTGTTTCTGTTCTGAGATATATGTGTGTAGCTAGTAGTATTGTTTATTCAGTTTGTGCCTTGCAGTTGCATGTGCTCACAATGCAGAATAAACAAGGCAAAGGACCTTTTCACTGCATTGCCCCATTTAGATTAGGTAAAGGGATTTTGTATTAGTGCTTATAAGAGCTTACAGGGTTGGGGCAAGGCTCCTCAAAAGACTGTACATACAGGACATAAAAATTTACAAGATTGGCCTCCAGTAGCCATCCTTAGAGTCAAATATACAAGAGTGCAAAAGATCGTCTGCTTTGGAGATGCAAAGTACTGGCCCAAAAGCTTCAAGTCCATGGCACTATCCCTTAGAAGTCCAGTGAGGAGGCTGAGTCTGCATAAGAAGGCCAAAGGATCCTCAGTGGAAGACCAAGGGGTCTGTAGTGGGAGGTTGAAGGGTTGGTACTGAAAGCCAAAGAGGCCACAGTGGTTGGCAGAGGGCTGGAGATGGAAGATGAAGAAGCTGTGCCGAAATCTGATACCCAAGGCAAAGGTGAAGACCAGACCCCTCCAAAGAGAACAGCAAGCTCTTCCAAGGAAAATCAGCTGAAAGCCTGCCCTACCATTCTCCTTGTATACCATTCTCAAAGTGAGTCATGTCCAGAACCATGCTGACTCAATTCAGCTGGGAATTCCCCCATTTGACTATCAGTTCACCACCACAGATGTATGCAAGTAAATTCAGGGAATTCAGCTAGTATGTACTATGGCCTATGGATGCTTGGCTTAAGATGGGCAACGTAGAAATGAAAAATAAATGGGTTCAGTAGATACTGTTGCAGTGGAATTGATGTTTTTGTGATATCTTATGATGGTTAAGAGAGCATTTAAACCTCCTTAATAAATAACTCACTCATTCTGCTGTATGTTTGTGCCATTGGCTTGACAATGGAGAATAAGCCTTCACTAATGTGTAGAAAATACCTGTTGAATATGAAACATCTTAGTGAAGGTTTCATCCTGAAAGTAAGTATGTGCGTCTGGTTGTTACTGGAAGACTCCTCCTGGATTTTAAAGTTGCCCATTCCTTGAGAAGGACTGGAATGGAAAACTAATGTGTCCAAGGGTCCCTGTCTTTAGTGAATGAGAATGTAATTAAGGTACGTGGCACAGTGAAGGGGATTGGAAGGGCAGCAGGTCCTTTGGTTTCTTTCTCAAAGATATGTTAATAATGTTCTGAAAGTAGTGCCAAGTAGTGTCTGTGATAAGAGCAAATAATAGTGTTTGAGAGCTTAGTGAAGTCAATCTCAGCAGGAAAGAGTCAGGTTTTGGCTACTCAAGTAGAAAGAATGCTGTAGAAAGGCAGACACTCTTCTGAAACATTTTCTAAGTCCTATTATAAACACTTTCCATATACTGTTTATCCTGAAATTATCTGTACTCTAGAACCAAGTTTTTAAAAAACTAGGTGAATAGATCATTAAAGCAGTATAGTTATTTGGTTTCTCATTGTCTATTTTTTCCTTTTTCCCCCTACATTTTCTGCTATTTACATATCTGCTTTTCTGTTTCAGGAGTCATATGAAAGAGCAAAACATATCTTGAAAACTCATGCAAAAGAGCATAAGAATCTAGCAGAAGCTTTATTGACCTACGAGACTTTGGATGCCAAAGAAATTCAAATTGTTCTTGAGGGGAAAAAGTTGGAAGTGAGATGATAATTCTTGATATGGATATGTTGCTGGTTTTATTGCAAGAACATGAATATCATTGCAGTAGTCTTTTGCAGTGCTTTCTTCCTCATTCTTGATTTGGTATAAATTCAAGAGTGAATACTTTGTCAACCTTTTGTCACATTTATCTAATTTTGCTTATTCTCATGATCCATCTCTTGCAAATTAGCAATGTACTGCAAATATATTTTTAAAAAATAAAGAACTATCAGGATTGGAAACAGTTCATTTGAGAAATGTCAGGTCAGTTATTACGATGAAAGTAAATGACGACTTTGTGGTTGATTACTGTTTATGAATGAAAATTGTGCCTTTAGCTCCTGGTAAGTATTTTAAATTTGCAGTCTTAAGATTATTTGAGACCTTTCATCTTGTGATAGTAATATTTCTTTTGATAAAGA